GTCCTCAAGGAAAGAGCCAGGTCAGCAGGCCACGATACAGCCAGGAAATTGCCTGTGTCACTTCATCCACCACACTAGGTCCCTCTGCATTGACTCGGAGATGGGCCATCCTTCAGTAGCTGCAGGGACCTCCAGAAAAAGACTGGTTTGCTGGCAAATTTCAGGGCATTTCACCCTAATCAAGGGTCTCTTCCATCTCTTGCCATTCATGTCTTCTTGCAGTCACAAACTGTCCAGGATCCAGAAAGGGGGTTTGTGGCATATTTTATTCTAACTCTTCCATGATCTCCCTCCATCCTCACAAGCAAAAATCTCTTACCACCAATTAAAAAAAAAAAGAAAAAAGTTATGTTCTCTGGCCTCCCCCACAGATTTCACTGTTTGGTTTTGTCATGCCTCACCTCCTGACCCAGGCCTTTCTGGCAGTGAAAAGGGAAATTCGGGAGCAGAAAAGAAAAACTTATGGAAAGAACATGAATTAAGAAAAGATGAGGAAAAAATGTATATTTACCATTTCAGTATGAAAAAAAGCCCTCAAAATTTGTGGGGAGTGAGTCTCAAAGAGCACAAAATAATCCACAGGCATCTTTCATGGGACTATCAGACACTGTCCCCTTGATTAGCTCCTTGCTCCTCTTCATTTCAAGGAAAGCTGTGGAGTCTGTACTTGCACAGGAGGGAAAAGAAGGGAAAACATTTGAAGAAAGAAAATGATAAAAACATGATATAGGTGTCTAAAGAAAAGAAAAACAGCACTTTCCTGCTGCTGAACTCAGAATGGACTCTCTTAGGAGGGCAAAGGTCCAAATTCTGCTACACATTCCCTGCTTTCACATACAAAAAAACCCAAAAAACCAGCATCATCAAATAATGAAAAAAAAAAGAATAAAAAGCTCAAATGACCTAACAGATATGCACTTTGCCTAGTAATTTGCAACACCATAATCACAGCAAAATAGCTGAGATGAATGAAAAGGTGCCTGTTGTGCAAAGCTAAAGTAACAGCCAAAATGTAGCAGGTCAGATGAGCAGTAGTGATCAGCAGCCCCTCCATCGTGCCCCAGCAGGGAGGAAATCTGCAGCAAAACACTTTGCAAACCTGCAAGAATTTTCAATTTATGTAGACAAGGGGAGGGAGAGAGATCTACTGAAGGATTCTACAACAGAGCAGTGGGGCACCTTTTGCTTTCCATATAAATAAGGATCAAGGATCTTCATCCTTGTTTTCCAGCAGGGAAGCTGAGATGGTGCCTAAGCTACAGGACCTCCAGGCCCATCGTGCCTCCTGGTCCAGCCGCGCACCCGAGCACAACCCTGGCGCTGCACCGGAGCGGCACTGAGCACGCAGCAGCGCTTTGCCTGTGGGAAGGGGGTGCAGGAACTTGCTTTCCCCCCAGGGAGACCCCCTGCGTGTCCTGTCTCCATCCAGGGAGCGGACCAAAAAGGGTCCAGGAGTTTGTCTCTCCATGCAGACTTCTTTCCCGTGGCTCTGCTGCAGGCTGCATGCTCAGGCCACACCAAGCACTCCCCCACACGAGTCCCTCAGCAGCCCCGGGCACGCGGCGGCTGCGGACGGCCGCGCACAGCGTGACTGACACGTCCGCAGCGTCACCTTGGGCACGATGCTGCAGAGGAGGGAGGAAACCACGGAGGCTACGAGCCCAGGCTGTCAGGAGCGCAGCAAGGAGGCCGCACCGTGCTCGGGAAGCTGCGGAGCGCACCCGGCACCAGCGTCACGGCGGCAAGCGCGGGCGCCCGCCGCCACGCGCGGTGCGT